CAGAAGCAGCTGTCAGTTTTCTTATTGTGGGATTCTAATGCGTTAAAAAAATTTAGGGTCAGGACCATTACGAGGAAGACACGCTGTCTTAAAGTGGTAGCTTGGAAAAATCTCACTTACTAAAAAGTAAGAAAACATTTAAAAATAGTAGTAGAAAAATAATAAATAGTGAAAAAAAGAAATAGGCTATGAAAGAGGGACAGCAGTATTATCAACGTAAATTTTTTTTGCACGTTTTTGGAAGGAGAATGATTCCTTTTTCAAGCAAAAACTCGAGACTACCTTTGATTTTTCGCATATACCGTATGGAAGACGCTATACGGTAGTCCCCTTCGGCGACCACCGACAAAAAATGTCAAAGGTAATCCCGAGTTTTTGCTTGAAAAAAAAAACCATTCTTCTTTCGAAAACATGCAAAAAGAAATCAACGCTGATAGCATTGCTGCTCCTCTTTTATCTGCTGTTTCTTTTTTTCACTCTTTGTTATTTTTCTATTACTCTTTTAAATATTTTCTTGTTTATTGGTAAATGAGTTTTTTAGGACTACCACTTTAAGACAGCCTATCTTCCTCGTAGTGATCCAGACCCCATATTTTCTTCACATATTCCATAATTCTTAAATATGTAGAATTCTACAGTAAGAAAACTGACGAATGTTTTCGCGCTGTTAACTGAGTTATTAAAGTAATTAAGTTAAAAGATAACGTGTAAAAAAAAACAAAATGCTCTCACGTTTCTGCTAAAATCTGGGCAGAATGAAGGTCAAAAGGCATAAAATTTTAAAAATAAACGGGCTAAACACTTTTAAACAAAAGCACTTTGTTACACCTTATACACACGTGTAATGCAAAAGTTTTGCATACCTTTCTGAAGTCCGCTGGTTTAACGTAAAGATACCTCCTTACACCACTAAATTTGCGGAAGTCGTTCCCAAAACAAAGCCATTCTCCCGTCAGTAAACTTGAACATATAATTAGAAATGAACGCGAGTATAACTTTGCTTAATTCGAGGAAACATCTTTTTTTTTCATAATCTACTAAAGGAGAAGTTAGAAAATGCGTGAAAAAACGTAAGATAATCTGTACAGATGGGTGGAAAGAACACAATTTTAAATGAGGAATTCAAGAAACGCGACTCTCTTTTGGTTGGGAAAGCAATGAAAAATAGAGGTGAAAGAAAGAACAATTTCAAGAAAGAAAAAGCAGATGTTGGAAGAGAATCAGCGTTTATTATTTTCAATATTCCTGATACAAAAATAGGTTCACTTTTATACTAAAATCTGGGCAAAAACGTGGAAGTACTTTACAAACATAGGAGAGCTCACTACGAGTGTCGCGACCGTACGCGAAATGGCAGCCTTGTATTATGAGGTAATCGGCTGCTGCGTGTTTCCTGAGCGGAAGCTCTTGGAGGGACAGCTGAGGAGTTCACTACAAAAGGGAGCAAATGTATAAATAAAAGTGATTTTTTCATATATGTTTTCTTTTCTGAGGTTTCAATCGAAATTGATTGACACAGCCTTCTCATAGTTGTTTCACCTATCCATTTGCAGATATTACTATTGTGTGCTACTTTAATAATTTGTGCACTGTTTTTCTATTATTACCCTGTGGGGTATATAGTAGGTATAAACACTGCTGTTGTGAGTTTGTATCTGTTATATCATTTCAAAGCGAGCAATAAAGTTGTTAGTACTAAGATTATGAGCGCGCATGGGGCATATCACTCAGTCAATAGGTGTGAACGAGTTGATCTTAGAGTCAGATCTAATTTGTCCAAAGGCAGCGAGGCAGGAGTTCCAGCATCGAACATAAGGTTGATTGATCGCTACGAGGAGCTTACAACTGGTGGGCTTCCTAAGCTCAAAGAAGAAGTACGAAGAGCTAAGGTTGGTATTTTGGGTGGTAAGAGCTGATTACACCCACGGTTAAGACGCTAGAAATAAGGTTCCAATAGGGCGCTGTAGGAGAGGAGACGTCGAGGTCAAATCTCCAAATCTTTAGAGTTCTGCCTATAGTCGAGACAACCAAGTTCTTCTTTTTTTATGCTTGAAGAAACCCAGTTACGTCTCTTGCTGGCTGCTGAAAAAAATGTTGACTTAGATCTAAACCAAGGCGTTTTTAACTGACTTATCCTAGGAGTTCTGAGACTCTTTTGACGCCATTTTGCTCGTCATATTTCTGATTACATAATAGTTGCTGAACTTTGCTAGAATCCAATGCTCTTACTGAGTTACTTGCTAGAACGCGAATCAGAGGTTAACAGTTCTTACCCTAATTTGTAAGTCTTTTTGTACAGCACAAAAACGTAAAAAATTCAGGAAATAGCACGCAGACACACCTGCAGCAACCACAACGATAGCAAAGTCTTTACAAACACTTGATTTATACCCAACACTGAGCGAAAAAAATTAGTTAATTATGCGATGAAGCAACCTGTCTGCATTCACAAATAATATGTTTTCAAAAGAAAAAAAAAGTAGTACAATTACCGTAATGAAATATATTTACTTATGTTCAGAAAACGCTACGTGGAATCTGTGTGAAAAAAAAAAAACTTTTTTTGTCAACAAACCGTAGTGTTAAGTACAAACAACAAAACTAGTAATGGTGGAACGTAGCGCTAACGTCACATTTCTGCGAATATCTTGACGATGGCTGCAAAGATCAGCATAAAGAGAATCAGGTAAGTGTAATTCTGAAGAAATTAAAGATAACAAAAAATTTGCAATTTTCTAAAAATAAGCTAGGTAAACATTGCTCATTTCAAAATAAGTCGGTATTTTATAACTTGCTAACCAATGCCATCATTGTGATTTTGGTACCGTTGTGAAAGAATTTTCACACGAAATCAGAAATAACGCCGCTTATATATGGGTCATTTTATGCCTATTCGTGCACTTTTTTCATTTGATATCTTGAAATTTTTTTCAAAATTTGCTGATTCATAGAGCCTTGGCTAGCATCCAGAGTCCAAACAGAAGAACTGGAGAAGAATTCCCTGTCAAGTTGCGAAATTTGCTAGGTTGCTGCTTGACAAGATTATCTTCAAAGAATTATGATTTAGCTAAACCTAAACAGAATTTCAAAAAGTTTGGCATGTCTTATTCTTCATAATTAATAACATTTTTCTTCTTTCAAACTCATTTTATATAATTTCATTCTGCTAAGTAATTGCACAGATAAAACGTGAGAAAGGCAATTGAAAACCTGCAAGTATTAAAAAATACCCAAAACAAGTGACGGGGAAGCGAGTACGGGTCCTCCATTTTCTAAAAGAAGGAACGGTACTATTTTGGTAATCTAGGCGCGAGCTGAACATATAAATCTCATGTTATTGCTTTATATGTTTTCAAATTATTTGAGATGACAAAAAGCTGTGTTCCTGCTGCCACCTCTACCAGTTTAGCGGTGCAAGAATAATGGAGAAGGTACTGAGAAAAGTCATTTTAAAGAATGGAGGTCATTTTTTTGGTAATTAGTGTTTAATGAAGTAGCGATGACGAAATGGGGAAGACAACCGGGAGCGATATCATATACCAGAAGTTCCCCAACAGCATGTGAGTGGAAGAATTGTAGGGCCATCTAGGCAATTCGTAAGGTAGTACGCAAGCAGATGTAACAAAAGATCATACAAGGAAAGAGAGCACTGAGGGCAGCGACAAGTATATCCCAGCCTAGAGCAGTATTTGAGGCAGCACCCACGATAAAGACGTTTTTATAGATCTGGAAAAAGTACTTTTACATGAGCAAATTGAAATATCTTGTCATAGGCAAAGGAGAGCTATTAGTCAAGGTGCTTCCATCTAGCACAACAGCTAATTTACTGAATATAAGTGAATTACTGGTGATCAACGTTAGCTAGTCTTGTACTCAGAAGTTGCCGCGACGGCACGCGAAAAGCTAGAAGTAATGTAGTTGTAGCCAACAGCCTGCCCTTAAGGGGATGCTCTTATAGGGTAGTGGGTTTGTCGTCGACACTAACCCGGATATAAATATTGAAGACGAGGAGACGACTTTATATATCGAGGATATCTGATACTCAAATGCAACCGGTCGGATCATCTGCACAGTGCAGTCGTTGTGCGGCTGAAGACACTTGTATTACAGAAAATTTCAGATACAAAAATTATAGTTTGCCGTTATTATTTGGCCTCAACAAAAAAAATCTTACAAATGGACTTAGGAAGACAAATTTATAGCACAAAGCGATGTCAGAGCCATCGTTGCAATTTTTCATCAAAAATTACCATTTGAGTGGAGGTAAAAATCGCAAATAGAGATGTGGATTTTAAATAAAATCTGTTTTGAGCAAATATAGTTATCAGACGCGAAGGAAGGAGTCATTATCATTAGAGGTAGGGGACGACTAGGTCAGTATGAATTACAGAAGGCGTATTTGAGAGAAAGCGGAGAAAAGATTATATGTTATTCATTGCAAAAAGACTGAGTATCAAATATTGTCTTTTTTTTAGATAAATGTTCAGCAAGTTTTGAAGTTCTCTTCCTGAGCAGTTTTCTCAGTTTTCTACTTTTATTCACTAAGTACTGAAAACTTTTTTCTTGTTTTTTTTCCACTAACTGACCACTTTTAAGCATTTTTTGACACTTCTGGCATTAGTAAAAGACATGTGCTCAATAAATTTTTGTTTTTATTTCATTTCGATCTTCATTTTTGTCTTTGATTTTTATTTTCCACTTTTAACCTTTATTTCTATTTTTAGTCTTCTATTTTCATTTCTATTTTTTATTCCAACTAAACGCTGGGAGGCAAGTTTTATGTGAAAAGATTGCAACGATGCGCAAAATCAACAAAAAGAAGCGTAAAAGACGGTACGAGTGGTCTTGAAATTTCAGATACTGTATTTGTAAGTTCTTTTATCTTCCTGTTTAACAGATTTTTCTAATTTGAAAAACACTCTCCTACCAACCTGAGCTTTAATTTGAAACTTCTCGATTTTTTCTCTAACCGCATCTTAAATATCTTCATTTATTCTAAATATAGTTTGGTGTGTTTGGTCTGGGCACCTCTGTCGCAACTACCAACAGCAAACTTAATTGGAGAAATGTTGCCAACACCTCAGATATTGTCGCTTACAAGTGAAGCAAAGAATCCCAGACTGGAGGAGAGAAGGTCGGCATTTTAAAAACTGATCTGCGAGCCGGGGAGAACGAAGAAAAAAACTAAAGAAACCATAGATGCTGTAGGAGCACAAGGTCGTTAGAAGAGGCAGAAAACCCGGAGTTGAGAAGCGGGAAGGAGGGAGCGATTAACCGCGCTTGATCTAGGAAGGATATAGAAGAAGAAAATCGACGAAGCAGAAGGAAAAAAAATGATCTCTCATCATTATGTCATTACTTTATTGTTATGAGTGTTTCCAACTAGTTACGTATTTCATGTTTGCGCTCACTCTTATTCATGGTTTAATTACCCAAGTTTGAGGTTGTATTGTATCGACTGTACAAAGTAAAATATTAAAAACCCAAGGCCCGCGTGGCAGCATAGAAATAAACGACGAGGCTAGAAAATTGGAAGAAGTAAGTCAGAATGTCTACGAAACAACAAGGATTCTTACAAGCGAAAATTATTTCTATAGTTTCCTACTATAGGCAATTGTAGTTGCCAACATTTACAGTGCAAACTTAATTTTAGAGGACTAGATGTTAAATGTACGAATGTTGGTTTCACGATGTTTACACTGAAATTTTATATAACTCTTTATTGCTCAAATTCTTAGAGTATATTACAACCCGAAGAATATTTGAGGTATTTAGACCGACAATAATAGTAAGACACTTCTGACGCAGATTACGCGCCTTAACTAATGAGGTACAATATAAAAGAGTTATATTAAAAGATGAATTATAAGAACCAGTTAACAAATCAAACTTGTGAAATAATAAACTTGAAATAAAGACATAAATAACTGCCAAAGAGCACGATATAGAAAATACAAAACTTGAAGGGAAGCCAAAGATACTGAAAGATAGACGATAGCACCAATCAACTGTTTCGGAACTCATTCCGGTAAAACTTAACTCTTAACTCCAATTAACTCTGACTTTTAAAGGTTGCCTTCGCTTAAATACTCTTTAAAGTAGTAGTGCCCTACTATTCACCCTCCGAAAGCTTCCCTTCAGGGGTAGTTCAGTGGCCACTACAGTGCTCGAGGTGGCCTTTCTGTGCTGTCGCGACAACCTCCGGTTGGAAACATTGCGACAGCGCGTGAAAAGACACCTTAGAAGAGGGCAGAAGTTTGTTGTTGTTTTACCCGCAAGTGGAAGTCTCTGAGAGACAAACATGGGTGATTTCTGACAACTGCCTGAGTGAACAATTTTCTGGTAATACGACGATCTTAATGAGGAATTTTGTTGATGGCTGATTCCATCATTTAGTGCCCAACATTCTTACTAGAAGCAGATCGACGTGCATCCGTTTCATCTTTCATTTTGAGTTATAGACTGTGCCGTTTGGCAGACTGTACAAATTTTGCTCACGAAATTTAAGATTATTTGTTGTCTGACGTTTATTTTAGTTTCAAATCAATGAGTATTATATCCGACTAGCGACCTTTCCTATAATTGTATTTGCAAATTAAAATTTACATTATTCTTTGAATTGTAATATTTGAAGTAAATTAGAGTTAATAAACGGTTATCAGACGTAAAAGGTCCTACAATAAAAAGGTTTTAATCGCCTCAAGCAGTCGTCGCATATATTCGGTCTTCTTAAGGCAGAAGCACATGTTTTGGAACTGTAAAGTACGCAGTTCTTCTTCTGCAAATTCAGTATTGTAGGTTTCAGAAACTACAAGTGCTTACAGTAAATATAGCCCCTTTCACTTTCAAACCATCCTTGGCGATCCCGGTAAGAAAATACGCATGTTTATTAAAACAGTTCCAATTGGTCAGTTAC